TTCTGAGAAAAACCCCTAGATGCAACAACCTGTCGCCTTCCTCTGAGGCGGCCACCCTTACGACTGAGGTGTTGATCGCTGGAACATTGGCATCTTCGTTTGAGCGCGGCGCTCGCTGAGTTTCTGCTCGGTGTCTTCAGGGTGGGTCTTTCTAGAGGGCTCATGGCTGCGGTGCCTCCGGCACCTCCAGATTACTTGCCAGGGGCTGTGAAAAAGAACGAGGCTGAGGAGTTCATTGACAAGAATCTTTCTGCTGATCTCGTGCATATTTTCAACGAGTGCTCTGTTAGCATTGGGTTGCAGTACAGCCTGGGCCAGAACTTCAACTCCGTTAAGAAGTTCAGCACGTACGCTGATACCAGGGCTGAGGTTCGTCAGGCTCTACGCGATGACCTGGCGATGGAGCTTGTTGACCAGCAGGCTCGAGCGGCAGTTGCGGCCGTTGTATCAGCATGAGAATCCTGTCGCGAATATTCTGCAAAGCAAAGTGAGCTTAAAGCGGAAGCAAGAGTGATGGGCGTGGTCCGCCCCATCACACAAACCGAGAAGCAGGCTATGCGCAGTGCTTATGAACAAGCTTACGGCTCGTTAGATGAATCGGTGGAACCATCAGATGACTATGTTTCAGCCAAGACCGAGGAGGTGGAGAGTGGGGAGATGATAATCTTCGGCTTGCCGACTTTTCTTTCTACTTGAGAAAACATCCAGTCCCACGTTTGGTGGGACATGCAAAACTCCTGTTGCTTTCGTTCAACTTTTATTGGACTGTTGGTGGGACGAAACATTTATCTGTTTGAGTTTTAGAGCAGCATTTGTCGTAGAGTGGTTTTATTTTGGCATGTGTTTTGACATGCCTTTGGTGCGAACGTTTGCTCTTGCAGCCCGTAGCCATTTTGGCTCAAGCATGTGGGTTCGCAGGTGCGCTGCGGCAAAATTTTGATTTTGGGCCTCTAGAGCCTCTGTCGGTGCATCTAGCAGGTTCCAGACCCGGTACTGCAGGGCTGTAGGCTGTGCACGCGTGCTTCTGCCCAGAGCAGAGCACGCAGATGGCGCGAAGCCATGTCGGCATTCGCCCTGGAGCAAATGCACCTTCGCCTGCAGGCGCAGGCAAGTGCTGCCGCTGAGCCTTATCCTCTGGATGTGCCAGTGCCGGGTCAACTTCCGCCTCCACCTCTCGTCTTGAATGTATCGGGGGACAGTGAGGCAAGGCCGAGGTCGGAGGGTGGAGCTCCTGCTGGGCTAGTGTGCCTATGTCAACCGATGAGGCCGGGGACTTCCTGCAAGATCTGCTAGCAAGGGCCGGGACTAGCCCGGGCGCGAACATGTCGATCGGCACGCACAGCTGTAAGGCAACGCTCATCACGTGGACAACGTGGTCACCCATTGTGACCTTCAGCCCTAAGGAACAGCGTCACCTGGGACACCATCTCAAGAGGGGGCAGAGTACATTGACATACAGTCGTGAGTACTTTGTCACCTTGAGTGGTAAGGTTCTGGGTATGTACAGGACCATCAGGAGTGGGAGATTCAACCCAGACGAGAGCCCTTCCCAACGTGCGGTTGCAATAGCAGATGGTTGTGATCGTGAGGCTTCGGGGGAAACATCCCCTGATCTGCAGGCGACTCCGGGTGGGGGGCCAGGGTCTGCAGCGGACCGCCGTTTGAATGACACCGAGCCATTCGGAGACTCAGATGGTGGCTCTGCTTCAGCTGAGTCCTGTGTGGAGAAGCCAGACGGAGCGAGGAAGCCACCGTCGGGGGGCCGCCTTCCCTTCGACATTGAGGACGACCGGGAGCTTAAAATCCACAGACTGTCCGGGATCGTGCACAGAGTCAGGGAGGGAAATATTTTGATTTGTGGTCGTCAAGTAAATGAACGCTACAGAGCATTCAGTGCTGACGACGAGGACGAACCCGAGGTCTGTCAACAGTGCGCTCGGGGTTCGACTTGATTTTTGCATCGTGTGGAGTTAAACAGAGCGTTCAGGATGCAACTGAGTTGGCTCGTGCTCTTGAGTGCGTATACGAGGGTCCACCAAGGTCCGTTTTACCGTTTTACTGGATTTTTGCCACTTTGGACCCTACTGTAGACCCTGCCACAAGGGGGAAAGGTGTTCTCTCCTTAGGCAGGGTATACAGTCTTTTATAGGCAGGGTCTACAGTGTTTGGCAGGCGGGCCGGGTGCCCCTTCATATGAGTGTGCAGACTTCACGTGATGATTGACATGAGGTCTGTGAGGGTACATGCTCAAAGACGAGTTGCTGAAGATGTGAACTTGAATCTTCCGCGGCAGCTCCGAGTCTTTGAAGTGCCATGGACATGCTGTAGGACATGCCATGAAGACTTTGCTGGCAAGTCTTAGCATGTTTGATTTCTGTGATGAGTTTTAATATTTTCGTTACGACAGAGGGCATCTCGGGGATCGGGTAGGTCTGCTGCACTCGTAGCCACGAACCTTTGCAACATGGCGTCGGCAAGTTTAGACTTTACAGCGGTCTTCCGTGAGAGGTGCACCAAGTTCGGGCTTGCGCCCGAGCTGCTTCGAAAGATGATCGAGGCTGGCTTCGATACCTTCGGTAGGGTGGCATTTGCAGCCGGGGCGAATCCTATGACGCTAACGGACAGTGCCGTCGATGAGTGGATCGCTACTTTTGAGGATCCACTGCCGAGTCTGTTTCAGATTTCAGTCATCAGGAGGATCGCTTATGAAAGCCAGAATGTCAGCATTGCCGACCTCAAGGCCAGAGTCGAGCCAAGTACCGAAGTGCAGGTGCGTAAACTTCCTGTGGCGGAGCGTTTGGTTAGGCAAGAGGAGCAGGCCAAGAGGCTGACCGGGTTGCAGCTGACTCCACACAACATGCCGGGCCATGCGTGCGTGGACGAAGTCGTGAGCATGATTGAGAACAACACCCTGAAGTACTTGCCCATGAATCGTTGGATTAGCAGGAGCCAGGAGCTAGCCTTGCGCAAGAACGACCCTGCAGTCTCGTTGGACAACGAAGGAAACATAAAGATCAGTGGCAAGACCCCAGATCTGACTTGTGATACTTCGGGGTTGTATGCACTCCGGCAAGCCTTCCAGCGATGCGCTTTGGCGTTTGATTTAGGGCACTTAGCCACGTTCGGGTGTATGGAAGCCTGGACAAACGACATCTTCGAGAGGACCCAAAGGACTCCCCCGAAAGGCTATGCAGCGGTTAGCATTGGTCAGCTAATTTCCGCTGACCGCGAGATGTTTGTGCAAGCGGCCCGTAGGCTAGAAGGCAAGCTTCAAGGTGCATCCTCGGGGACACGTCCCTTGGACAGTACCCAAGAAAGTGCAGGTTGACCCACCGCCCGCACCGCCTGAGGACGCTGCTCCTCGTGATCCGAAGGGCGGTGGCAAACTCAAGAAGGCTCGCAGGACAAAATCCAGATTGTCATCCCGAATGGATGTGCCGCGAGGGATGGCCAAGGCCGTCCGAACTGCTTTGATTTTAACCGAGGCAAATGCAGTCTGAAAGTTACCAAGGGCGGGTGTGCCAAGGGATTCCACCAGTGCTGGAAGGTTGGCTGCAACAAGAGCCATCCTTTCACCGGTGCACCACGGGACACCAGTGACGGGGTCAGGGGCTTGGGCCGGGAGCTCCGGGGAAATCTGTATCCGGTCCCAGCATGCACAAAGCCGAGGAGTTTGCAACAAGCATTTTGCAGTCTGGTTCCTCCCCAAGGAAGGAACACGTTGAACAACTTTTTCACCTGTTACCGCATGAATCGCCTGCCCGTGGCCTCGGGGCCACTGCATGTAGTTTCGGAAGCGGTGCCTACGCCAAAGGCGTGGGGATACAGGGGTTAAGGAAGGAGTGTGTAACCTTTCCTCAATCCGCCTACTGACTTCCTATGTGCACTCTTGTTTTCCTGATCATGAATTTTCTTCAGTTATTCTTTTCTGCGATGCCCAGACGGACATACATGTCGACTCGCGAAATCATCATTCGCCTAACGCTGTTATGGGGATCTCCTCATTTTCGGGGGGACAGATATGGGTGGGCGATGGGCAAGGGCCCATCTCCAAAACGATCGAGGGCCGACAGGTGAAGGGGACCCGTTACGAAGTGAGCCACCGTCCAGCTTTGTTTGACGCTTGGAAGTATCCTCACTGTACCGAGGCATGGCAAGGCAGGCGGCTAGTGTTAGTGGCCTATTCGGTGCAAGCACTGGATCGGCTCTCAGCTGACGACAGCGCCCTTCTTAGGTCCCTAGGGTTTAGCCCCCCTGCCGGTTCCCTTAAGGGTGTAGCTAACACTCTGCAGGAGGCTCCACCGCTTGTGCAACGTGCATCTGTGCCTTGGGTCTTTGAGTTGTTCTCAGGTCGTGGGCAGCTGTCTCGGGCGCTGTGGAAGGCAGGCTTTCTAGTCCTGTCCCTAGACGCTTCCATTGCAAATGCCGCGGCACCCACTGCCAAGCTCAACGTGGGCACTGATCAAGGCCAGACTGTCTTTTGGGACTTGTTTGCTCAGCACAAACCCTTTGCACTGCACATTGGCGCGCCCTGTGGCACTGTTCAACCAAAAGGTGATCGTCTTGCAAGTCAGCCGAAACCCTTGAGATCCAGCAAATTTCCTCTCGGATTGCCCAACCTGGATGAGGCTGCATCTGCAAAAGTCAGGTCCGCCAATGCAGTGTATCGCTTCTGCTATCAGCTGATTGTGCACTGTCTTCGGCAAAACGTTTGTGTGTCGATCGATAACCCTGCCAACTCTTTCCTTTGGTCCATCTTGGAGCATTTTGCTCATGAGGATGGTCACAGCTGGCCATTGCAAGGACTGGAAACAGTCCTCTTCCACAACTGCTGTCATGGAGGCCCGAGGCCGACCCAGAGAAGAGTTGTTGCGACGACAGCGCTACTAACAAAGCTCGTTGCGCGATGACAGGGTGGACATCACCACGAACCATGGGGCTTCTCTCACAATACTAGGCCTGCCTATCCACCGTTGCTAGCCGCACGCTGGGCTGATTGCCTGGCATCCCGAGCACGGGCGTGCCACCTGTCGTTGCAGCCTGCCGCCGATCTTCATGCAGTGTCGTTAGCGGCCAGTGCTCGCCAAAGTCGCAAATTCCAGCCACTGCTGCCGGAATTCCGCGAGATCCGATACATGCCATCATCTTTTCAGCCTGACAAATCGTGCAAGGTGCTCCTTTCGCATGTTGTGTCGGGGGAGCGAGAAAGTGCGAAAATTCGCCAGGTGACACCAGCACTCCCACCAAAGGCTAGATCAAGATCGCCCCCGTGCATCTTGACTAGGATGTCCGGACATGACTTGCCTTTGACATCTGAAGCTGACACTGGCCCAGACCTTACTTGCCAGACTGGTGTAAAAAGCTTGCCGTCGACGTCTGAAGCTGACACTGGTCCAGACCTCACTTGTCGAGCCGAGAGCAGTTCTGCGATTGCCGGTCCTCCACATAGTGAGTGTGCCGTTAGGGTAGGGTTTTGGTTCTCGCCCAAAGAACACATGGAACGTGCTAGACAGCTTGCCCACCAAATGGACTCGGCCAACCCTATTGCTTGGAGGTCTTGGACGAATACATGACGGCAAGTCCTGCCGAACTGGCCCTGAAAAGGAGGTTGGCACTGCTGAAAGTGAAGCTTCTTGTTCGTTCCTTGGAAAGGAGGAAGAGCAACTGCATGCCTCATTCCCATCGTGGTATCAAAAGGTTGTGGCCCCCAATCCTTGCTTGGAAAAGGTTGCTTGAAGAATTCAAATATGACGATCTTGAGGCAACGAAGTTCATGATGGAGGGGTGTCCACTGGTCGGGACGTCCGACCTTCCCAAGCCCTTTGATGCCAAAATCGTGCCCGCCACCTTGATCGAGCAAGAGCTTCGCGCTACCGCCAAGGCCCGCAGGCAAACCTTGGTTCAGACAGGGCGGCCGGGCGATGCCGAGCATGTTGAGCATCTTGTGCGATCCACTTTGGACGAGGTGGACCGAGGATTCCTGGATGGACCGTTTACGGAATCCGAGGTTTCCAAACGTCTTGGTCATGCAGATTGGACGGCAGTGCGAAGATTCGTGCTCGTACAAGGTGCCGAGATGAAGCTTCGTCCGATTGACGATTGTGCCGAAGCTCAGCTGAATGATGCATACACGTCAATGATTAAGCTCCGAATGATGGACTCGGACTATATTTCATCTCTCGCTTTGAAGATTGCCCATCTTGAAGCAGAACGTGCCGCCCGACTGGGGGTCGAACCTAGATCGTGGGTTGGAAAAACCCTAGATCTAACTAAGGCGTATAAACAGCTCCCGTTGCTCCCTGCTCATCGGGATTTGTGCGTGATTTGCATCGTGAATGGCCAAGGCATGACCCAATTCTTCATTGGGAACGCTTTAGTTTTCGGTGCAACATCTGCTGTCTTCGCCTTTAATAGGATCGCTAGGAGTTTATGGTTTTTGGTCACGAAATTGATGCACTTGCCGTGCGGATATTTTTACGACGACTACCCAATCTTCGGATTGGAGGAAGAAGGCGAACTTGTGGATCAGTGCGTAAGCGAGCTCCTATCACTCCTGGGCTGGGAACACGCCACTAGCGGTTCTAAGGGTCTTGCGTTTGATAAGGTTTTTAGTACTAGGAATGTCACTTGATCTGAGCCAGATCCAGAGTCAAGTTGTGGTCCTCGCCAACAAGCCCGGCAGGGCGGAGAGGATTTCGCAAAAGCTTGGAGAGATCGCGACGGCTGGGCGAATCAACAGGCATGAAGCCCAAGTTCTTCGCGGATTGCTGCAGTTTGCCTCGGGGTTCTATGCAGGCAGGGGTTTAAAGCAGACCTGCTGTTGGCTTGGAGAAGTGGTGAAAGGCGTGCCTTTTTCCCCCGAGCAGGTGCGAGAAAGATGCAAGCAAGCACGGTGCATAATCGCATCCTCGTCGCCGCGCTTTCTGCGTGTGAGCCCTTCTGAACCTTTGCTCCACCTCTACACTGACGGCTCTTGGGAGAAGAATGTTGCAGGCATCGGTGCAGTGCTGTTCGATGCAGGCACGAACCGTGGCCGGGTCTTTCAGGGCTTCGTTGATCCCTGGCTGGTGAAGACTTGGCTGTCGTCCGTGGGCGAACAACTCATTTGTGAGATTGAGCTGTATGCGTTGGTCGCCATCAGGCATGTTCTTGGCTCGACCTTCGAAGGTCGGAAATGCATTTATTGGATAGACACCAATGCTGCCCGAAGCGTGGTGATAAAGGGACATAGCAGCAGCAAAGCAATGTCCGAACTTGCATTCCGCCTATCCGAGGTTGAGACGTTGTCGCCTTGCTCTTGCTGGATAGAGCGAGTGCCGAGCTTTTCGAACATAGCCGACTATCCGTCTAGGCAAGCAGGAAACGAGGTCCTGAGGCTTGCGCGGGCTCGCTGCGTGGAGCCTTTTCCTCAGGACAAGGAATTCATCAGATTCATGCGTGGC